ATAATATTTTATTAAAAGTTTATTATATTTTAATTTATTTTTATTTTATTTTAAAATGTTGTAAATTTTTTTTTTAAATAGACTTTAATTAATTTTTAATATAGATATTTACTAGGAAGGTATTCCATTAAAATTATCTTGAAATAAATTTTGTGCTAGTCATAATTTTACAATCAGCCCGAAATAGAATCAGAACTTTAATTGTTAATTAACGTCGATATTTTTCGTTTCCGTCTAGTTTTAACCAATTCGCAAGTCTATAAAAGAAAAACAATTTTAGTACTGTAGATTACTTTCATCAAACTACATAATTTCAGCTATTAAATATTTAGAATTTATTATTGCAATTAAAAGTGCTCAATTTTACTATATTTATGACACATAATTCGTTTCGATAAGCACGCGCAAAGCACAAGTGCTGCCAGATCTATTTTTGCAGTGTATGCGCTGCAGCGCTTCGGGCTGATAGTTCGGATTTTGTGTTTGCCGACGCTGCCGACGCAACCGACCAATCAAAATCAGCGCTGTGGCCGCTGTTGTTGTTGTTGCTGCTGCTGCTGCTGTCGCTGCTGTTGAGAGGATCTCTGCCAGCGTCGCGGTCGCTGTCGGCGCTGCCGTTGCGTTGCCTTTCCGTGTGCTTGCTTATCTTATCTGTGTGTGCGTGAGTTTCTCGGTATGCGTGCGTGCGTATGTGTGTGTGTGTGAGTGTGTGTGAGTGCGTGTGCGTCTGTGTGGGCGTGTGTGAGTGCAGCTAGTTTCTTATCGTAAAAGAAAGTGATATTCGTTCTTTCATCTTTCTGTCTGGAAAGCGGGGAGTGCATTATAGCAATATAATATCAATAAAGATTTCGCACAATAAATCGATAGTGTTGCCCCCTATAAATCAGGTAAGCACTTGTTTTTCCTCTACGATTTACTGTCGCAGTTACTCTACTAACTGTAATTATAAATTAATGTGATTATATTGCTGAGAATTAAGTGCGTGATAATTAATTTTAGTTACTTGAACTTTGATATCTGCTACGTTTCGTGAGTGCGTAGCGATTATATAAGAGCTTAGCTGATATTATAAAGTGCCATATATATAAGATTTGGCTTTAATCAAATTGTTTTGATATTTCAATTGACTGAGTTAATTTCGTTATCATAATTTTTCTGTTATCTTCTGCCATACATTTGTGAAATACAAGTACAACTACAACTACAACTACAACTAATACTATACGCATGTCTTTTGTAGTGTAATCTATTGAAGATTTGTCTCCTTGATTTGCTTGTCATTCACTTTGACATTGCTTTTCTCTCGTCCAAGTACATATTAGGCAAATTCGGACGCATATTTTTGGCTATCAAGCGAATGTGCGTACTGATTAATGGGCGCGGAAAAAGTGCGTGTGATCGTGTTGGCATTTTGCTTGGATCATTGTTGGGCATTATTGCTATATCTAAGCAAATCAGCGGAAATAATCTATTATTATTATTATGGCTAGGCAGTCGGTGCCAGGCACGTGTTTAACCCACGATGACCAAGTAGAGTTTTACAGTTAGAGAACTATCAAGGATATATACGAGTTGTTAGACGACGTATAAAATTTACTTGTCATTTGTATATAGATATATTATTATAATTGGTAACTTAAATGTTCAAAATGAACTTAAAATTCAACTGATTTTAATTGAATGACAATTTCAAAAGGAAATACATGAATTTATCCTTACTTTTAAGTCAGAGTTCAAGAACTGTCATTTAGTATTTAGTATTTAGTATTATTTAAACATCTGATCCATGACTTCATAATTAAGAAAGCTAACTAATTTCAGCTGAAATTGAAAACTGTAATCTAAGTTAAGAATCTCTTTAAGCTACATTACTGTGCCGTACCACGCACGGCTAGATGAGCTTTAATTAGAATTTTAGTTTGTTATCTGCTAGAGAGCTGAGCTTAAATTGGAATTTCAGTTTGAAATCTGCTTGATTTTTTTTATTAACTACGATTTCCTTTACCCACACAGCGAATATATGAAACCAAGTTAAGCTTAAGCTACACTCTATGTTAGATATTCGATACATTTCCACCTCCTCCCTTTCGCAAAGTAGAAAATGGCTATCCTTTTTAGCACTGAGAGCTCAGCTCAGCTATAAATCACTCAAGTTTCCACAATTCATTCTCAATTTCTCTTCAACTTTCGAGCATTATAAATTTAAGTCAAATTTGGAATTTTATCATAGTTCTCTTATTCCACATTGCGAACTGAGCTTGAAAAGAAGGTTAGACTCTCTCTTTCTAACAAATATTGCCTATAACAATAGTCATTAGAAGAATCCTATACTTAAGTTTAAATCTCTTCCAATTTTGTATCATTGATTACATATCATTAATCAATCAATCAACATCAATCATTACATTTAGTCGACTTTTGAGCATATCTATTGCTTCTTTTGCCCATCCACCGATAGCTTGAGGGCTCGTTGTACGTTTGTTCCAAATACTTCTGCTTCCTTCTCGAAAGAACACATTCATATCGATATTTTTGTACATTTCGTATATACGGAAATCACAAGCGCGACTTCAAGGACGTTGCTGATTTATTTATTTATTTATTTATTTACTTTCGGCTGCTCTCTTCTGGATATAGCATCAGCCAGAGAGAAGAAGACACGCTTATCACATGTCATCATCGTTTTCTCTTCTTTTTTTTTTTCTACACAATTTTTGTGTGTTTGTTCTTTTTTTTTTTTGCCGTCTGGTCCAAATTGAATTTCAAAATGATTGTATAATTTGGAGCACTTTAAAGTCTGGATTTCACACCATTTAACTGGCTGTCCAAGTGTCTGTCTGTCTGCCTGTCTGTCTCTCTGTCTCTCTGACTGTCTGGCTGTTATGCATTATATGTCTACACATTGTTGAGGCTTGAAATGAAACACCTACATGGCATTTGGGGGGCGGGTGGTGGGCGCGGCCAGACGTCGTCTGTTATGCAAAGTTGCAATCGCATCAAATGCTCAAAGAGCCACAGATCATAATCTCAGCTGGAGAAAAAAGGAATAGACAACAACAACGAAAAAAGAAAGAGATAAAAACGAGCTCTTTCAATCGACAGACCCCCAGAAAGGCATTTAGAATAAATACAACAACTACAACAGCTACAACAGCAACAACAACAAAAACGAAACATGCGCGCGACATTTGTCGAGACGTTTATATAATAATGTTTATTTATTTGACTTGTACACACATTTGCATAGAATTTGCCCCACTTCGTGGACAATAACAGAAGGAAAAAAAAAAAACGCAAAATAAAGAGTCAATCAGAGGCAGTCAAAAGTGTTATGTAGACGACAATTGGAACGCGAAATGAGTCAAAGCCAAAGCCACAGGCCACAGGCAACAACAGCAACAGCAGCAGCAGCAGCAGCAGCATTCGATAGTTCATTAATTTCAAGGCTAGACTACAGACCACACACAGCCCCTGGCACGCCCCAGTGCTCCAAAGCCAAGTGAAAACATTGTAATTGGCAGTTAGCCTAGTGGCCAATGTAGTAGTTCCCTTTGATCTCATCTAGCCAAAACTATTTTTTAATATTTGTATAGACATCTATATATTTAGTTCCCATTTTTTGCAAGTTTTTGCTATTTTGCTATTTTTGTATCGAAAACAAATTTTATTTTGACAAGGCGGCATGTCTCATGCCAGTTAAAAAAGATTTCATTTGTACAATCGACAGGAATGTTCAGCTGCCCATTAAAAGTTGCGCTCTCCAGCTTTCTCTATAAAGGGGAAGCACTTCACACAGTCAAAAAATCGGTGGCACCTCTCTCTCTCTCTCTCTATCTCCCTGTCTCTCTCTAATTAATCAATATATGTGGGGAATGCGTATGGCTAGGCAACTGTGAATCTGAATGCTACAGCTTCAGTAGTTTATATCAATCATGATCTCTACCTCAATTTTCAGGTATTTCAGAAACTTAACCAGCAAGTGAGCTGCATAGCCTTGTGTATCTATTTCTATTAATTATTAATCGATTATTCGTTAACTTAATCGGTTTTGTATGATATTTACTTTGAGTTACCTTTAAGATCAAGGCCTAGTCAAATCAGTGTACAATTTATTCACAGCAGTTAGAGTCGGATCAACTTTACAATTATTATCGTAACATTTCCAATCGATAAATATCGTTCTGCTTGTAGTGCATCTCA